GAGGACCATGCTGTGGATGTTAGCTATTATTGTTGCTTATACTTAAACCATTCTGGGGCAGAACGCTAATGGTGGAATAGCTCTGTTAATATATGCATGTGCGTGACTGGGAAGGGGTATTTCACGTAATTTGTTATTACATATATGTTAAACACACACACACACACACACACACATATATATAAAATTTAAACCAATCTGCCATGACAGGCAGGGGAAGCTCATTCTAGAATTCTGAAGCATTTTGAAGAAGATTCTGTTTTCCCAGGGTTTCCCAGGAAAGGGAAGTAGGGTGTGTGTATGGGTGGGGCTAGAAGTGCAGGTCCAGATGGAGGGGCAGGGTAAGGACGTGTTAAGATGTGCTGAGCACTGGGGGAGGCTTCAGGAGACTGTAGAATCAGTCTAGAGACAGTGTTGCCACTGTGACCACTGCTCTTGAAGCAAATATTGAGATGAATCTTATCTCTTGGTCTGAGTCACTTGTCTTTGGGAGGAAGAAGCCATGGTCAAGGTGGAATGACTGCTCCATCGCATGTCTTTGTGGCTGAGGCAGCTCTGCCACCAGTGAGTCATTCCATGAATTGAGTAATTTGGCTCAGAGGAATGAAAAGGGAAGCTCAATTCATGACCTACGTCTTCCCATTGACTCCTGACCCTATGAAATCCACTTCACCTTTCCGTGCTTCAAGCTTCTCCTTTAAAAGTAGCGCAAAGGAAAGAGTCCCTTTTTGAGAATGTGAAGATTTTGTTCCTTCTGTCATGACCGAATCATAGTGTCAAAATTGCCCAAACTTCTGATGCCCATAAAACCATAAACCCTTCCATCAGGAAGCCTAGGTTCCCTGACTTAAAGTCAATAATAGATTTATCTTCCTCCCACCTGGAAGACACACTTTTAAATTATTTTGATCATGTTTTATCAGTTTTGTTATGTGGCACATAGAAGTGTGTGGGTCTTTGCTTTGGGCTGCCACCTTCCAAAATGTAGGGGATTCTGTTGCTAATCCAATTGTCTCAGATTATGTATTTATTTATTTGAGAAAGAGAGAGAGAGAGAGTGTGTGAGTTGGGGGAGGGTCAGAGGGAGAGAGAGAGGGAAAGAATCTCAAGCAGACTACTCACAGAGTGCAGAGACCGATGCCAGGCTCGATCTCACAATCCCAAGACCATGATCTGAGCTGAAATATAAAAGTTGGATGCCCAGCCAACTGAGACACCCAGGCCTCCCTGTGCCTCATCATTGAGATGTTTCTTGGAGCATTTTGATGATGGGGCTAGGTGGGCTGAAGGGCAGGGCAGTGGGGATGGGGGCAGCCAGTGGTGCTCTATCAATCCTGTATCTTTGAGCAAATGTTAAATGTCAGCTTAAGACTGGCATATCAAAAGGGCTCAGCCCTAGAGTCCAACACGTAACTCACTTTGCAGCATACAGCTTGGCTTTTGGAGCTGCTACCATTGCTGCTCCCTAAAGATTTTACCTTAAGGCCACTGAAAATAAAAGGAAAAAAAAAAAGGGAGAGAGAGAGACCACTTATATAGAGGAATGGGACTAGACTGGAACCATAGTTTCCTTCTTTCTTTCAGTGAATATCTCTACCTGCTGATGTGGGAGCAGCATGGAGTCCCCAGTGGCCCTCCCTGGTGTTAAACCCTGATTCCACATAGCCACCTCCACATTTGATAAACCCATTCTGCTGGGCTTAAAATGGAGGGACTGGAAATACCCGTAACTGTCCAATAACATGTGATTATTCCTATGGTCAGGGAATCAAAAGACAGAGAGGTCTGTTCCCTAATCCTCAAAGTTTTATATAAAAGTACTACTGATTTTATTATTCCAAAAGCCTCAGCTGCCTCTTTTCTTTTGCCTAAAGCTACAAGTCTATTTTATTCTCAACTTGTCAAGATTTCTCTCTTTTAGTGTGTATGCCCATCCTATTATTAAAATCCTTCCAAGAAGATCCCTTGAGATTTTGAAGATATCGGTTGCTAATGAGGTTGGCAGTATCCTCATAAACCAAGCTGTTCCTTTCCTGGTCTGAAGTGTAGGGTACTAGAAAGTCAGCCAAGTATCACTGGGGCCACTGGGCATCATTTCTATGTCTTTAAGAGGATAGTGGTCAATGTGAGGGTCGGGATGTTCCCTCCCCTTCCTGGATTTCCAGGAGTGCCTGTGCAAATGCTGACCAGAACTTAAGCCTGTAGGAAAGAGAATTGGGGTTTCTGATGTACCATTCACCTTATATGTGACTCCTGCTGAAAGAGAGCCCAATGATAGATGAGCCAATATGTCAAAATCATGATAATTGTTCATTCCGAATGGTGAATGTATGGAGTTTATGCTATCATTTTTCTGGGAATGTTTGAATATTTTCTTAATAAGAAATACATTCAAGAGATAATTGAAGGGATAATTATGAAATGCAAATCAGAGTATGTAAGAAACAGAGCAAGAATGAAGACTGTTGTTTGTTTGTCTTTGTTTATGTCACATGACCAGCATTTCTTCTGGCTGACTAGGATTTGACAGACCAACTTCCATTTTTGTACATTTTCAGCCACGTTCCCAAAAGCCTGATAGAAAACTTTTCTATTTGTTCTGGTTTTATCTGGCATAGGATGTTAGAGAGTTTTCTAGTTTTCTACATGGAAAAACCTAGTTTTTCCTCACTTAGAAATTACAAAGATAGTGGTAACGAACATCTATCTCCATAGTTGCTAACACAGTTAGAGATTTTGATTCAAAACTCCATTATCTGGGGTCAGAACCAGAATATATGTCCCAACATGTCATATATTCATCAGTAATTATGTACTATTAAGAAAGAAAAAAAAAAGATCAATGCCGTAGAGACAGCCTGCAATATAATGTCTGAGGAAGGGAACCTTCTGTGGAATTTGTTTTCCATTAAGTTCTGGCCTGGTATGTGGCCTGTATTCCAGGAGTTATCAGCTCCCTACATTCTTAGTTCATTTCCCTGGCTCGGCCCCTCCCCCTTTCCTCAAGTCTCATCTTTTGAATATGAAAAGCTATATTCAGTGTTTAATGTATTCTTCCGAAAAACCTTTAAGGCCATCTTCAGAAACACAACCATTTCTTGTTTAATAAACAATCGCTGTCTCATTAAATGTAAATTAGTTCTTTATCCTTAGCCGTATTTGTTGAATCTATTACTTACTGTGTTTACCAATTTTGTTTCCTTTGGCTGCAAAGCTTTCTGTAAACTACTCATAAATATAAAGTTGAAATGAAGGCACTTTCTCTCTGTTGAAGCACCTGCATTAGCAGCTTTGCACAACCCTCTCCTGCAAGGCTCATCTGTCTTCCCAGTACCCCTTGATGCTCCCATCACCTGGAAATAGTTCTAGGAGATCCTAGCTGCGGGAAGTCTGACCCGGGGCCTCTGCCTTGCAGGAATGGAACTGCTCCCTTCCTGGTCCGGTGTCGGAGAAGTCAGAGCAGTTGGTGCAAGGTGGAAAACGTGTGCTCTTTGAAAAGAATGAGGGCAACCAGTCTTTTGCGGAGGAGAAAATGAGTTCTTTGTGGTAGTGGTAACATTTGGCACTTTGATTCACTGAGTTCTAACATGTCCACGTTTCCTGGCTTATAGGGCACAGTGTAAGGCCCATCTGTTCCAGCAGGCTTTCCCTGATTAGATAGGATGCTTGGCAAACAGAGTCTCAGATAATGGATATTTGAATATTTTTGTAATTTCCATGCTTGTGCCTAACAGCTTAGCAGTTGGCCCTATGGTTAAAGAAAATGGATAATAATCATGACTAATGTGGTAATTTCCATTCAAAAATTTCAAATGGTGCTTAATTAAATCTTCCAATAACATTTGGAAGCAAGGGTTCACCCTGCCCATGCTATCCATGAAGCAAAGAGAGTGATAGGGTAGTGGAAGAAATCTTCAGGAGCTCCCTGTGGGAGACCAAAGCAGGCACAAAAGCTGTGACCACTCACTTAATTGCAGCCCCAAGAGAATTCTCCATAACCCAGCCCTTTGCATGGCAGCGGGCTGCGACACCCCCTCATGGTTGGCAGTAGGCTTCTTGCTCATTTCCACGGTGTCTATGAGAATGGAGGACGGACCACCTCAGATTGAACTGCCTGAGGGTTTGCTGACATTGTTCTAGAAGGCTGTCCTCCTGACACTGTCCCGGTAAAGAGAAGACTCACTACTGTCTAGGTCATAGGGACGGCCGCTGGTTCACCAGCTGGGCTCATTCGGGGCTTGTCCTAGATTACAGAGATGTCCTCGTCAAAATCTGCCCACAATGGAGGCCTCTTTTGATTTTTCAAACTTTCACTATAACGGCTTTCCTAAACTCTACTTGGTAACTTTGAATGTCTAGAACCCTGTTACGAATCAAATCTGAGAACCTTAATATTTGGAAAGGACTTTGAAGCTTTCCAGATGAAACCCTTCATTTAAGAGATGAGAACCTGAGCACCAAGCCCAACTATCCACCCAAAGGCTAAAGACTAGGCATGTTCATTTCAGTCATTTTCATCCCAGCTTGGCCTGGAACCTGGGTCTCCTGGCTTCCAGTCCAGTGACCTTTTGCTTCAGCATTACAAATCGATTTTTTCCTCTGTTAAAATCTAAATCTATTTTTATTCCTTTCAGTTTCCGTTGGGAGACAGGCAGGAGGTAGAGTGATGGAACAATTTGTCGGTACCCTACTTATATTCATTCTTCCCATCACACAGGGACCATGGCTGCGTAGCTTCTCCCTCCCCGAATTCCTTTGGCCTTGCATTCTAACCTTGCCTCTTCACCTCCTTTTGTCTCATCTCCCCAACCTGCAAACTCAGGCAAACAGGATTTGCCCTTTACCCACTAGGGATGTTTGAAGATTGATAACATGTCAGGGAAAAGACTGGATTTATTAGAATTTCACCATATCCTATTTAAACAGAAGAGCCCACAGAGAAAAGAAATTTGCAAATAACTTTTTCTTATATTATTTTTTAAATTCATTTCTCCCTCTTATAGCTACTGTTTATTATTGTTGTTGTTATTATTATTATTATTTGGGGGTTTACCATTTAAAGTCTTTTGTAAAGGTCTCGGCTGTTCCCAAGCAAGCCAGCCATGCACTGAAGCAGGACAGAGGGAAGGATGATACAGTGAGCCGGGCCTGGGGAACGACAGCCCTGTCATGCTGACTTATGATGGATGAGGGAAAAGTCTATTTCTCATCCGTAGTGGGGGAGGTGAAGTGTAAAGAAAGATGCACCAGGGGTCTCTGGGCGATTCATTTTGCGGCAGATAAACTCTCAGAAGCTGCAGAGTTTTGAGGGGAAGAGAGAAAGAATTGAAGAATCAAATTCATTATGTGAAGTATAATCTCACGAGGAAATATCAAAATATGTCAGCAGCACCCAGGATGGGAGGGTGGGGAGAGGGTGGGGAATTCACGGATGGTGTTTGTCAGCTGCTAAACCAGGCGTGGAGGCAGAGAGGCACCGGGTTCCACCGCTCTCCCCTGCAAACAGCCTTCCTACCCAGTGCTGGAGGGTATCAGGCAGATCCGGGGGCACTTCAGGGTGGATGGATGCAGGAGATCCAGGAGGCACCCTTGAATGCCTCTCCCCCGTCTCAAATTCACCCCCACCCTCTTTCCGTATGTGTGTCTCACTTTTCAGCTCTTCAGAGGCTAAAGTTAGAGGTCAGGTATAAATAATCCCATGAAGAGTGTTCCATGGAACTCTCCCTTGTTGCCCTGCTTTCCCCGAGCCACGCTCTCCCTGCTGTTCCTTTCCAAATTTTAGCAGAGCCCTACCTAGTCACTAGCCGCCTGAGTCTTGCAAATGAAAATTGATAGTTTGGGGAGCCTTTCTCTGCCACTTTAAACGTGCTTAGTAGACCAAAATTCTCTGTCCTGCGTATGCATTAAGGCGCCAGCCAGCTCCCCTGCTCCCACCTCTACAGACCAGTCACCGCCCCCCTCAGCACCCCAGAGGGAAAAGCGGCAAAAAGCTTCCCCAACTCTGGGCACGGGGCAGCCTTTGCAATTTCCATCTCTGTCTCGCTTCTCATTCCCACAGTGACCTTGGGCAAATCACTTTCACCTCCCTGAGACTCAGTTTCCACATCTGGAAAGCTGAGATAATAGCAGGTAGCCTCCTAGGGGGATCCTGCAAGGCTTAATTAATTAATGTTTGGCAAAGCTTCCGAGACCTTTGCTTGAAGGAATCCGTGTGAGTGCAAATTATTATTATTATATCACTGGAGCCTTAACTCCAATTTTGTGGCAGAGGCTAATAATTATTTCTTTTCTGAGGAAAAAAATATTAATTTTAATTCCAAGTCATTTACCAGGTAGTGGGTAAAAAATTGGCCGTTTGTCAAGGACAGTGTTGTCTAGATGGAAGACTGCAAGAAAATCTTCCTATGTTGCCATCTTTCCTGAGCATCCTCTCCTCTCCCCTGCCCCATCTCCTGACCATGTTCTTTGTGCTCTCTCTCGGGGTCAAGGTGTTAGTTTGGGCGGGCTGGGGCAACACCTCTGCCCATTGTGTTTTGGTCTCCCTGTGCCATCGGGTCCTCACGCCTGCACTAGGTTTCACTGACTGCCCTTTCCTGCAGCCAGCCCTCCAGCTCTGGACACTTTCTTTGGCTCAGCATAGAAACCAAATGCCAAGTATTTTTAAGAAACAAGACTTCATTCAATATCCCTGAATTGATTTCAGATAACTGGGCACCCTCTCTATTAAAAGCATCAAACGAATTTACTGTGTCAGATGAACCACCTCCCTCAAGACAATGGACCGTGTGTTCCACAGGGATAAAAATCATGTCCGGCAGGCATCGGTGGTCATTCCCCTCCCCCCTTCTTTCTCCTGTCCATGAGGCTTCATGGGCTGCCTGGCTCCCCCAACTACGGTTCTCATCAGCCCCTCCAGGAAACCCCCAGGATTTCTCCTTTGCTGTTTCTCTCAAAACAGCCTGCAATACTTATGTTGCTGCATTACTGAGGGGCAGACATGTTCCTACTCCCCCGGCTTTGTCCTGACCCTAGAACCTCAGGCTCCACGGAAAATCCCATTAGTCTGCTTTCCTCTAGGGACACTGTAATTGCATGTTAGCTTCGGAGCCATGAGCAGACATTCGTGCAAAGCTTTCCTTCGGTACTTTCTGCTCCTTGTGTCTGCACGTGCTTTTGGATTTCGAAGGTTGGTGTTCGTTCTGTTTTTCTGAGGAAACTGACTAACAAAAAAATAGCTTTTCACTTCCTCTTTCTTTCATTCTGTGCAGCTAGTCCGATGTCACTGCCAACTCCCAACTTTTATACTCATTTTCCTTTCTGAGTCTTTCTTCCCACATTCCTCTTTCAAGAATATTCTTATCACATGCACGAGTACACATGCACGCGCGCGTGCGCACACACACACACACACACACACACACACTCCTTCTGTCACCTAAATCTTTCACTTTCTTCAGGACAGCTGCTGTATACACGACCCAGGCCACAGCAACCTCACCTTTGCTGGGTTGTTAACACCTGTAACTTGTACACCTGCAGCGTGTGACGCTCTGGAATGTACGTACCTACTCTGAGGCTTCTGTGCTCTCAAGTGACACAGACAGGGCACGTGTGGTGAGAAGGACAATGAGTCTGAGTGACTGGGAATCTTCTGACTGCTGCACCGAGGTTGTTGTGATGATTTCCAGCAGAATGACCTCTCCGCGGTTTTCTCATCAAAATCCACCTCCAACCTCAAAGAAACGCTACTTGTTTCCCAATGGCATCATGTTCCATCTTTTGTGCCTTTCTTCATGCTTGTCTTTCTGCCTGAAGTAGCATTAACTCCATTTTCCATCTGGAAGAAGTCACCCCATATTCTTGGCCCAGGTCAAGCTTCTCCTCAGTGACGTTCCTGGGTCTGCTCCATGCCCTCCTCTCCCTCCTCAGATCGCTGGAGCCCGTTGCCTCCACCGGTGTGCCACCACAGTGCTCTGGGGTTGATGTCATCGCTAGCATTCTCCATGCTGTATGGAAAAGTTTTGTTTTCATGGCTCCTTCCCCTTCTAGTCCAAAAGTATATTGAGATCAGTGCCTGGCCCTTAGTTGGTAGTCCATAAATATTTAATGAATGAACATGTGAGCCAGTAAGTACCTCTGTGTTCCACATTTTTTAGAACAAAAATTAATCATACATTTGATTTATTTTGCATATGTGCTAAAAAAAAAATCTGAGAAATCTGTATAGGGCCCTGAATCACATGGGAACTCTGCATATCACTTCTGATAAACGTGATCTAATGCATCTTGCAGAAGTCATCTGGTGTTACTCTGTTCCAGCAAAATCATAGGCACATTTTACTGGCTGCTCTATCAGTCGATATTCTCCAGGGAGAATCTCGGTCCCTATGCCCAGAAATCTACATACTCAGGAAGTCTTACCTCTGTTCTACCTTCAGTCTTACCAGCCTCCAGCTAGAAAACATTGTGTGGTAGAGGGGGATGAGTAAGCTGGGTGTACACACCCAAACTGAAGGGGTTAGGAATGAAAATGCGGTGTCGATAGAAGATGAAATATTAGCAACCTGTTAAATGGGTTCCTGGTGTGTGCTTCTAACGTTTCTCCCTTCAAGAAAAGCGCTCCACACCATGTCTCATTTTGTGCAGTCAATATGATCCTGGTAAGACCTATCACAGCACTTGTGGTGCTGAAAGAAATTAAACATTTAGGGGACTCCTCCAGTGCCACACTGATTGAGCTCAAACGATGCCGCTAAATTGACAGATGCGTTTGTCTGCTCCTGCAAGCGAGCGAGTCTTCCCTGCAGAATGTATTACAAATTCCTTAACGGCAAGGAGATAACAACAAATCAGAAACTCCTTTATTCTACCTTTGTGCTCCTTTCTCCAGGAGCCAGTCTTGGTGCGCCTGCTTGTGGTGGGTGCACGCGCGCACGCGTGAGTGTGCACATGTGCATGTGTGCGTGTGTGTGCGTGTGTGTGTCTTGGATGCAAGTGGGATGCGCCAGGAGAACCACACCACTTCTCAGCTCATCACACACACAGTGTGAGTCTTGAGCTTTGCAAGGCTGACCTTCTTTCCTTGGCCATTCTGTTAATTGAGGCAACCGTGCCAACTCCTGAGATGCGTGGACAGTCCTGTCAACGGGGGACAGCACCTTGCACCTCTCAGCCAGATGCAGGACAACTTTAAACCAATTAATAAAACTCTTAAAAGGATGATATTGTTGGGCAATGTGCTAAGGTTTCCTGCTCTTGCCCAGGTTGTATTTTTATTAAGCTGTAAGCTGTGTTTTTTAAAAAAAGATAGAGGGAGAAGAAGAAGCGAGAAAGAGACTTTTATAGCCTGCAGCCTCTTGTTTGCAGATTATTTTCCAAAGATGCTCAGTAGAATATCAATGACCTGTGATTAGAAGTCCTACCAGGTACTACCTTGAATGGAGGAGGCTTTAGAAGTGAGAGCAGTCCCTCAGAGAAACCACACATTTTAGATTTGGAAAAATGGCTCAGCTGAAGTTGTCTTCACAGTGGGGAGGGTAAGGCACGGGGTTGGGGAGGATAGGGCCAAGCTGGCACGAGGAGTAGGTTTGAAAGAAAGGCGTCATGCTCTGCTCTGGTCTGTCTCAGGAAGGAGCAGGCTCTGTCCTCCTTACCAGAGACGTGGTCTGGGGTGGGGGCAGGAAAGGGACAGGTTGGGGTAGGGATAGAGGTCTTAGGAAAACCCTGGAGTCTGGTCCCAGGCATTTCAAAGAACTCTGGCTCCAAAATCCTTAAGAAACTCTCATTGGAAGTGCTGATAAGACCTGACCTATTGTCCTTTCATTTCATGAGTAATAAAATTTACCTTAACCATTTTTTTTAAAGTCCTATGTGTTTTTAGAAATGATAATAATTCTAAAAGCAAATGTGGTCCTACATTAGCTCGACTGGGTGACTGCTGAAGGGATGTGTGTTTCTGCTGTCAAACGACTTCACAAAGATGCTTCCTGGATCCGTCCCATTCATCCATCAAAATGAGAATGCTGACACCAGCCATGGGGGAGAGATGGAACATCACTGAGGTCCCAGGGATCCAAATTCTTACAAATATGTGTAGTGACAGAGCTGTTACCATAGCGCTTGGTCTGTGCTCAGTAACTACCATTGAACGAAGGCAGTGATAGGCAACAATAATGCCTATTCTAGACATTTCATATTTGTGGAATTGGGCAGTATGTGGTCCTCTGTGTCTGGCTCCTTGAACTTAGCACCACATTTTCAGGATTTGTCCATTTTGTAGCACGAGTCAGTGTGTCATGCGTCTTTCTCAGGTGTCCCCTGGTTTCCTGCTATTATTGACTGAAATTTCTTCTCACTTGTACCTAGGTATCAGGTTTTTCTCTTTTTCACTTTTCCAGCTCCACAAAAGCCAGGCCTTTGTGGCTCAGGCTCTGGGTTCACACTGCCAGCCTCAGAGCTGTTCTCCTGAGAACGAGCCAAGCTTCTCATGGGCCCGTGGTCCCTGGGCAGCGCAGCCGCAAGCTGGAGCTCACCTTCCCGCTTGGGATTTTCCTCTCATTAATCCTTGCATTCTTCGCAGAAGTCATTTGGTCTGTCTATCTCACTCTTCCTTTCTCTCTGATCTTTTCTCCCAAGTCTCTAACCCAGGACTCCTCTCACTGCAAAATACAAGGGATCTCCCAAAACTTCTTGGATCTAAGCCTCTAAGGCTCTCCTCTTCTGAATCAGCATTTTCCCCAAGTGCTCTAGGAAATTTTGAAGTGAGTGGCATGCTTTGACTCTCTCCTCGTCCACACCTTACCTAGGTTCCAGAAGCCCTCTTTGCTCCTTGGCTCTATCCCTGGTCACCAACAGGCTTGCAGGGACAGGCCTGCTCCTTTTCCACCCAGCTCAACACTCCCCTCCCTTCCACCTTTGCTGGCCAAACCTCCAAGCTTCAGTTATTCATTCACTCCTCTCTCGAAGTTTTTCTTGTCCTTGAGGCATGTGAGGTATGAGACCAACAGAGATGAGCCACCTGTGGCTGCTGATCTCCAGGGGCTCACCCTGTTGATAGATCCAGGTTTGCGACTAGCTATGCCTTGATTTCCTGCATCTTTATACTGTGTGACATATATTGTGTGACTTTGAGCAGACGGCCACAGCAATGAGCAGGACAGACATAAGTAAATACCCAAACAGAAATAAGTAAGATATCCTCCGAGTATTAAGTGCAACAGACAAAACCAAGAAGGGTAAAGAGTGGACAGGGACTGGGACGGGCCTCCTCCTGCACATGAGCAGATCAGAAGAGATGCCATGGGAGCAGAGCCTGAAAGAGATAAGACCAAGTTCTGTGAAGACCTGTAGGAAAGCATATATGTGAGAGGGGCAGGCAAGTGCAAGGCCCACAGTGAGGTGTCAAGGACCCTGTGGGTGCTGGGGCACAGGCAGGAAGGTCCTCAACCATCTGACCTCAAACCTCATGGTTTGCTTGAAGAAGAGTCTGTTTGCCTTCGATCCCAGTAGAATTCTTCTCTCCCATGCCGCTGAGCCCCCAGCCTCACAGACCTTGAATGAGCACATTCCAGTGAAAACAATGTCAGCCTGAAGCAGGCCAGGGAAAAGCAACTGAAACAATTGATTGAGCAGACCCCGGTGCTGACTCAAGTGTATTCAAACCCTTCAGGGTAAAAAGTGTGTGCGGGTGGGCAGATGACGGAGGCCAATAATGCCTGAAGAGGAGCGTGAACTGGACTTCTTGAAATTCTGGAAAAAAAAAAAAAATTCTAAAACCAGATGCTCTACATGAATCTTGAAAGAAACACATTTAAAACACATTTAAAGGAATGCCTTAGTAGGTCATGAATCTGTGGTGCCTTTGGCCCCCAGGATAAATTCTGGCTAAAATAATTATTTAAAACTGGTAACCGTTCAGTCAATACGTGGGGTTGCTTATTATGTGCCGAGCACAGCAGACCCAGAAACAAACAGGAGCAATGCAGTTCTTCCTCCCCCAGAACATACAGGGCAACAGTGGACATGGGTCCTGAGTAAGTCAGTAGGACCCCATAATAGCAGTACATGGGGTGGGCAGGAATTCCTGGTCCTGCTGGGTGTCCTTGGGCAAGTGACCTAGCTGCTCTGTGCCCCCAATTATTGATGTTTAAAATAGAGGTGTCAGTAGTGCCTCATCAGGCTGTTGTAAGAAGTGTCCCCAATGATGCCCAGTACACAGTAGGCGCTCAGTAAGTATTGACTACTGGGGCAGCAATTACCCATAGTTTTGACAAGTGTAAGGAATCGATGGTGTAACGGGAGTCCTTCCCTGGTTTCGGAGAGCCTCCTGATGAAATGACATTGCAGTCCCTCTGAGCATTGTACCTGATGATTTACATATATTAATATGAATCCAGAAAAGTCCTGCAGAGTAGGGATTTTGCCTGTTGCAATCTACCCAGGAAAAAACTGACACTTCTCAGGAAGTTTGAGCATCTTGCCCAAGGTCATCCAGCCTGAAACGGAACCAAATCCCACACAAAGTCAGACACATTCTTAGCATTTACTTCGGCAAAGAAGCAATTGTGGGAGGGAAGCTCCATAATTGGTTTCTGAGAAGAACCGAGATATTTGACATAACAGTGCCCTCCCACACCATGTCTCTTCGTACCATGGTCAGTGGAGAAGGCTGGGCAGGAGAAACCATGCTGTATCCCAGGGGGCCAATTCTGTTTGGTTCTTGGTTAAAAAAATGCAAGGTAGAAAGACAATACATACATCAGAATGCACACAGACCAACACAAAGAACCATACTCACAGCCCGGCTTGCAGGCGAGTGTGTGAATGTGTGTCCACTGACATGCAGACAGCCCAGGGCCATATGAAGAGCAGCCTCCCTCTTAGGGAGGACAGCCTGACCCAATCAGAGGTGCCCTAACATATGGGACAGGCGGCTCCCAGGCTCACAGTAGGTACGGCCCAGAACGAATGATCCCTCCGACCCCCAGAGCAATAGGACAGGTTTGTCCCCGAAGAAAGCTCTCACCCATTGCTCTTCTCCAGAGGGATAAATACCAGAACCGAACTGCGTCCACTCCCCTTCAACCCATCCTTCAAGTCTGGGCGTTCCCATTTCCCCCTTCCCTGCTTCCGTCCCTTTGTCTTCCTTTACCTGGCTGTGTTTTTTGATCTTCAGTGTGACAAATTTCAGCTGCCACTAATGTTCATGTACAGCATGTTTCTCTTTCCCTTCAGAGGACTGTGTGCTCAATGAAAGACTTCTCGGAGACGGCTCCCTGAATAGAAATACATGGGAGACAAACAAAGCGAGCAGCTCAGACATCCTCACCGAGGCTCAGGGAGTTTAAAAAGCCCCCTTCGCGCCAGAAATGAGGCTATTAAGGTGTGACATGATTCTCCCTTTCAGGCAAAGGCTTTTTAAACTGCTGTAGAGCCCAATCAAGAGAAGATGAAAACTTCAGTGTCTCAAGATATCCAACTCTCTTCTGCTGATGAAGGAGAACATGCCCAGATGCACATGGAATGAGAAACAGGCTCCCGGCACCCAGTCAGCAACCTGGCTGAGAGCTCAGGGTCCTGGGCAGCCCAGGCAGCCACCTCATGTCTGCCCACTTGCCATGCCCCCGTGGACTCCATAACTAGCATGAGGGGGTGCAGAGGAAACCCGGGTCCTGCTAAAGATCTCAGTTAGAGCTGGTCACGGGAACGCCACCCCACCTTGGCAGCCTCTTACTCCCAGAGCTCTCGGGGACCCTAAAAAGAACAGGGAGCAGCAACCGGCTTGGTGATTTGCTGGAAAAGGACTTCAGCACCGCTGGTAAATCCCAACCTTCTGGCTAGTGCCCAGATACTTTCTTAGCATTACTAGAAATAAAATTGGACCCGGGAGTGTCACCTTGGAAGCAGGAAAGCCAGGGTTTCAATCCTGTCTCTGCTAATTTCTCATTGCATCCCTGAGCTCCAGCATGCTCGTTTGCAAAATTCCTGCCTTTCAAGACCGTGGAAAGGAACAGACGAAATGTTTTACACAAAGTGCCTCACGCTGGAAAGCCAATAGAAATTAGCTTTTGTGGTGTTTTCAGATGGCAAGAAAACGAAGGCAGGGACTCCCAGCCAGCAGGTTAGGGCTCAGTTCCATTGAAAGTAGTCACTTCAGTTTCCTCCAATCTTTTGGTTTGAAACAGAATTTCTGCCTCTCTCAAAGTCTTGCTTGGTAGATTAATACTCTTCCAGGATGTCCCAGGCCCCTTCTTTCAAATCAGCTCCCTCTCCTAAGATTGTCAGGCAGAAGCCAGAAGGAAAATAGAGACTATTTTAGCCAACGGAAGTATCCTCTGTCTCATCAGAATTATCCTGTCCCTAAATCTCTCCTGACTACAGTAATACCCAAGAGCATTTTTTTTTTTTTTTAAAGAAAATACTGGGGATATTTTTCTTAAAGAATCAGAATCTAAAGACAGGCTACTTAATCATCTCTGGGATATTGGTGGTAAGAATGAGCTTACCCCTTTCTCTAGACTTTTTCTAAAGTGTCAGAGTATTTTCTGTGTGGGAACATTCAAATCCCCAGAGGTGTCTTCTTTAAGCCACCAGACATGGTAGGGTCATAGGAAACCACAGCAGATTCATACCAGCTTCATGACAAAGGCTTGTGGGTTTTCTTCCCCCTTCTTCTTTTTTTATGAAATTTTGTGTCTTACCCCTCATGGCTCCAGCACATGAGTGTTAGGGCTGAATTCAGATTTGGGGGTGCGGGCAGCTAGGTGGCAATACCTGGGTTAAGCAAATGTTGTATAAAGTGCTTGGGGAGACAGGTCTCGTTCTGCCTCTTGAAAACCAAGTGATGGTGAAATGCCGACTTTATTCTGGCTAGTTTATAGGTGTGCCACTGTGGTAGGGACTGCGATTTAGGAAAGTGTTTCACTGCATTGTCTGTTTCATGAAACACGAGTGAAAGCAGTCCCCAAGTGTCTACACGCTGTATTTTTTAAAGCCTCCTCGTGTCCACTACTGCCTTTCTTTTAACATCCGTGGGAGAGACAATCATTCATATTCTCCTCATGTTGCATAAACTGAGACCTGAGTAGTTGGTGATATGTTTTGTTCAAGGCTATACAGTGCGAGTGAGGGAACTTCAGAATCCATTTCTGTGCATACCCCTTGGACCACTGGATAGATTCAAGCAATGCAAGTGTGTGTGTGTGTGTGTGTGTGTGAGAGAGAGAGAGAGAGAGAGAGAGTAGGTGTATGTGTGCACACACGTGCGTACTTACATTCACGTACCAACTGCTAGGATCCCTTCCCATGATAGATAATGTCCTGGATGAGAGATGAAAAGAAGGCAAAAGGAGACCGTCAGGGTAGAAGGGAGAGACTAGACTTCCTCTCCTTAATTTGCATTAAGAGTAGCTTCCTGGTCACCCAGCATTGGTCTCACAGCAGAGAAGAAGGGAAGAAGGCAAGTCTCCCTCCACTCCTTAGGGCCTTTGGGCTATTTGAATAGAAGCAACCTGTACCAGTCACCAGCCCCTCTCCAAAGAGATCCCTGCTTGCCCAGTGGCTTCCGTTCTCTCAGACTCAGAAGAGAACTCAGGCAGCATCAACATCAATCTGCTCTTGGTGCAAGAACATGTTTTTCAGCAGGGTTTCCCAGAATGGTTTCCCAGACCACCAGTTCCTTGGGAAGGTCCTTTAAATAAAAGCGGGGGAAGAGAGCTCTATACTTCACTAGATTATGAAACCTACCTTCCTCTGATAGATTCACAATGAACTTTGCATATAAAGGCTCGAGAAGGACTGAAGCAAGGAAAACATTGTTAAATTAGGGCAAGACTACCGGGCTTTTATACAGACATGGTTTAAACAACTTCAGGAAATGGAATCCCACTATTACATTAAAACTTTTTTTTTTTTTCTAGAGTGTTCTTAAGGTATATGTCTTTGGGTATATGGACATGTTTTCTTTTCTTTTCCAGCTGAGATGTTTCTGGAACTTGAGAACAATATATGGTATTATTTATATCATAGTACACAATATACAAAGATGCTTAGTACTGCTCTTTTCAACCAGACGCATAAAAAATTGGGATAAAATCAAGTAGTACATTCTAACTTGGTAACATATTTAATGAAATAACCTTGTTTCATTAAAAAATCACTATAACTTTTGGAGTTCCAACAATTGAATCGGGACCTACTTTTCTGTAACTCCCAGCCTGTTCCTCCTACCTTCACCCTATTTCCCTAATTCATTATAATATAATGAATTATATAATAACAATAATAATGATGGTGATGATGATGATATAATGATCATGATGATGATGACTTAACTTTTCCCTATTCTGAAAGAGTCCAGAGTACAGGAAATTAGGGTTAGAGCATCCCTTAGATCACATCTCTCTCTTAATAACTCACTTCCTTTCTCCAGTACCTCTACATTCTTGCTGTCTCTTGGTTCACTGGGTACTCTGTGGATTCCAACCAAATTATCTTAAGTGGCAAATGTACTCTAAAAGGGGGAGAAGTGTAATGCATCTTACATTACCAGGGTTAAAATTTCATTTCATTCCTGGTCTGATGCTATTCAGGACTGTTATCTTGCCTTGTGTTCAATAGGCAATAGAAATAGATACGTCCACAGAAAGCCAGCCTTCGACATGATATCAAGAAGATGGGCTGGAAGCTGGGGAGCCATTGAGATTTGTGCTCCCCCCCACTCTGTTCCTGCCAATTATAGGGGGGGGGGGAACCAGCCCTTGGACCATAAATAACAGCTGCACCACTGAAATCCCCCTGCTTCAGAGCATGGTTCTGTTCACATTGGCTACATATTCTACAGGCTTGCATTCCTTTCAACTATTCTCTAGCACAGTTGGAAAAAGACGAGAGAAAACAGCAGGATGTGGATATTTAAGGGGTCATTTTTCAAAAGAACCAGGATTGGTCTGTAACTAGACATGCTGACGGTAAAGCCTGCTTAGTACCTTCTCCCCTCCTATCACAGTGCCCAGTTCCATAGTTCTTGGGGCTGTGGCCCAGACCTGCCTCCACCCATCGTCTGAGCTTTTGCCCTATTCTTCACCCCAAAGATTATCAAAGCTTACCTGTCTTTCTGCCCTGATCTTTCGGTGTTTTCCTCTCAACTAGACACTTTGGAGAGGCTCTACTTCACAGGAAGTCTGTACTGACTGACAAAGACGGCTTCTATTTAAATGTAAGACAATGCCTCACTCAGAAGAAGAAAAGATCATCTCTAACAGTGTATTCACATTGGAGAGCTCAGGGGAGCAGCCACAGCTTCCAAGACCCCTCAAAGAATGGCCAATGGGCACCTGCTTGTGTCAGGTTTGATAATAAGATGAGCCCTGATATAAATAATAGCATGATTCTTCACAGCAGAGTCTCTGGAGTTAGGTTACGTGGATTTGAATCTTAGCTTTGCCAATTTCTTTCTGTGCCACCCTGGGGAAGTTCTTCATCTTCGTCTGCAAAATTGGGCATAATAATATCACCAACAGTACAGCCATTGTGAGATTAAAAGAGATAATCTTCGTAAACGCTCAGCCCACTGGCTAGCTGATTGTCAACGTTCAAAAATATTAGATGTCGGTGCACAGATAATAATACCTCATGAGACCTACAGGCAAATTTTGCGGACTTTTGGATCACTGGAACCTGAGTTTGAATCTTGGTTCTTTTGATCACCGGCTGGGTGATTGTAAGCAACTCACTTAACTTCTTTTTAGTTAGCATCAGCTTCCTCATCGATAAACAGGAAAAAGTGCATCTCTCTCATCAGGATTGTTGTAAAGGTTGAAGAAATTTATGTGTTCGAAAATACCTTGTAGCTAGGAGGCATTCAATAAATGTTTGGGGATGGGAGAAACATCCGCTGAGCAGATCGCTCGGGAAAAAATGACAAGGGTTCTTTTGGGCATTTAGATGTGTGCATTTCAATAATGGACTTGCTTAGTTGCTCTGTCCTAAGGCTATCTATCAACTCTGATAGCACTTCTGCGAGGCACAGAGCGAATGTGGATAATGGGGTCCTGATTTTATTAGCAAGGCGAGTGTCCTGAGCACCAGTCAATGTACCATAATCAAGTTCAACTCTAGACAGACAGATTGCTTTCCTCCTTCCAAGCAATAGTTTTCCAATTGTAGTTTGCATCTCACTTTTTCAAGAAGGATCTAAAATAGAATGATCTTATAATGTACACAAAATGGTGGGGCTGCTTTGAAGGAAGGGGCTGGTGCCTGCTCCCTTTCTCCTTCAGCCTCTGCAGCAGCTTCTGGAGCACACTGAAGAAAATCTAGGACTCTGCAAAAGACAGCTGAGAAATCAATGCCCTGAAGGTATGGGGTGTTCTTTAGACTCCTGTAATGCACAGTGTGGATTAATAGTGATTTCCTACGGTCTTAGATTTATTAATATTAGGGCATGTCAAACAAACCTCATTTCCTACTTTGACAGTCTCTTCCAGGGAAATGTAGTAGACAGAGTGAATTGGTATTTCAGGAACATATTTTACAGGCCTTTTGGAATAGCTTTGTTGGAATGATGAAGAAATTTATGCTGAATATTAGCAAAATTAGGTATATTAGTAAGTGGATGAACACTATAGCCAACAGGTGCTGAACATCTAATTGATCAATGTCAGGCAGTGGGCTGCCAGGATACACAGGACATTGGCTCTGTCCCCTATCATTAAATGTTTCCATCAGCAACTTGGATGGAGACATAAAGATGACACTTATCAAATTTGCAGATGACATGATTGGGAGGAAAAGCAAACTTATCAGGTGATCGGATCCAGAAAGATCTTGTCAGGCTGCAGGAATGGCACAAATCTAAGATGATGGAATTTAAACGGGGAAAATGCAATATCGTATAATTAGGTTCAAAAAGCAAATTATTCAAATAGAGGTTTATGTCATATCTCATGTTAGATTCAGGCATGGCCTAGCTAACTGCAGGAGGTAGGGGATCTTTAAGAGGGTCCTTTGGGTAGATCTGAGTAATGGAAAATGGGATTAGGGGAAAGGCCAATACATCAGGACAACATATTTTCATGTTCCATAGATTATGTCTATAGGAAAGGGTGGTGGGTCAGAACTGGCAACAATTCCAGACTGAGAACAGTGGCAGAGAATCAGGTACATAAAATAACTTTCATTCTCTGAAAGTACTCATCATTCGGCCTCAGGGTATGGTCTTTAAGGGACCAATCTCTCGGCTCAGACTAGATGGGCTTAATACTGTTCCTGCTATTTGCCACTTGTGTGCCAAAGGCTTCTTAACTTCTCTGTGCCCCAATTCCTGCATCTATAAAGTGGAGGCATATTTCTAGCTCCCTATCTCCTAGGGTTCTAGTGCAGATGCAGTCTGATAACGCACATGGAGTATTTATGTTTTGACTGTCCTTTGCTAGGTGCACGGCTTGATGGAGGGAGGAGGGATGAGGGACATGATGTCTTTGGAGGGAAGTTTGGTAGCATCAGGCAGAACACCCTGGGCTGGAGATCTCAAGGCCTGGAAGCTTAGCGGCACAGTCACAGGAAGAAAGACAAGGCTGCCAGTAACCACATCTGCATAACAAGGAGCACACTGGATTTGGGGTCTAAAATGGAGTTTAAGCAATTAAAAGAAATGCGAAGTCCAAATCAAGGTAACATTTGATGGAGTGGACCAGGTATTGGGCTAATGTACTTTAAATCTCCTCTGCTTGAGATCAGGATTGATTATAGAGACAGAGGAGGGTGGAAAGTTTTGCTGACAGTTTCTGGTCTGAATCCTGCTCTGAGGAACAATGAAACATGGAGGCTGGGAATTAGGAAGAGGTTAATGGATTGGAGAAGAATTTCGTTTTAGTAGAGTGAAAAAGGAAGAGGAAAAGCATGTACTGGTTTTACTAATTGTCAGTTTCTTAACAAGTTACAAGAGTGGGATTCCTTCCCCTTTTCATATGACATAGAACAAAAACATTTAGGAGCGATGCGTTACTATGAGTCAACCAGACATATTCGGAGTACCACGCTAACAACTGCGCCACATTCAGAGGTCTGAAGTGACAAGGATGGTAGAACAGCATGCGTGTGCATTGCATGAACAAAGGACGTTAGAGCATGCAGTGGTCCCTTGAGGGAACCAAAGCCATGTCCATACACAGGCATAAGACCTCTTCAAACATTTGCAAGGCTGTCTTGTGAAGGGCTGTCTTGGCTACTCCTGGCTCAATATGTTACTAAGGACCAGAGGACGGAAGCTCTAGGGTAAGACCTTTAATGCTTGAATCTAGAGTCAATAAAATGACAAAAGGGAAACCTTCACCTTGGAAAAGAGCATACTTCCCCAGGCTGGGCAAAGACAGAGAGGGCATGTCTGCACTGCTTGGAGAGTTGGACTAGAGGCGGTCTTCACAATCTTTTCCCCAACATAGTGTTCAATGTTTTTATGAAAAATACTATGAGTCAGTTGAGTAAATCCTAGGGTTTTGGCTGAAGTTCCAGCACGTCAGTGCAATCTTTGGAATGGCTGTGCTGGACCACATCTTGGCCTGCTGTCATTTGCAGAAGCAGCCGTTATGAAGCGAGCTGTAGTTCTGCGCCAAGCCAGGAGGTGGAGCCGGTCGCTAACATACCTGGAGGGCCCTACTGGGAGGGGGTGCCATGAAGTTGAGCCCTGGAGCTCTCTGTATGGGTTGGCAGCCATAAAGGAATGTAAGAGCTAATCGACCGCCATCTGTCTTCATTTTGCTAACCCCCTCTATTGGATGCCACAAACAGCTCACTTCCTATATTTATAAACATCCCCAATCAGTCATTTCTCTGCCCGCTGTCACATATTTGTGGCATTAATGCTGGCTGCTTTATCACAGATTGGACTTCATTTCAGGCATAACTCTCATATACTGTGGTTCTGAGGTCTTTATGGCCACATTACGGTATATGGCTGAGTTGTGATTACACATCAGCACTGTAAGGCCACAGACAGTGACTTGGCCCTCACCCACCCACCTGCCACCCCTGCCCTCTGCGGGCGGCTGTAGATCACGCTATAGGCACAGGAAAATCGGGATCTACGAGACAGAGAGAAAAAGAACAAAGGGCCAGGCACACTTCCACCAGGATTTGGGGTAGCCTAGGGTCTTCCATAAGACTGAGAGCTCACAAGACTGTGGCCTTTTGGCAGAGTGACCTGACAAATGGAAAAAGTTAATGGAAGGAAAAGAGAGGGGAGAGGGAGAAGTCCGTAACTGAAACCTTTCTCCGGAGCCCCTAGATCTCAGAGCTGACAATGGGGCCATAGATTTTCCTCATCTTATATCTGCATTCAGGAAAGTAAGTTAGCATTTCTTCTTACTCTCTGCATCATGCTAGCCACGTTTGTCAGATTACTTTTCTTATAGAAATTAAAGAATATATATTTTTTGTTTTATTGCATTTGGTCCCTTGTGGGTCGTGTGAATAGACCCTTGGAACCACTGTCATAAGGGAAGCAGCAAAAATTCCCTCTTTTGTAAGTCATGGCAACCATTAAGAGGATAGTAATAGAGTTGTACTTGGTCAGGAGAGAAACAGAAAATCCAGGGAGGCAATAAAATTTTAGAGAATAGTAGGGTTATTGCTAGAAGAGTGTATGATATTGGGAATGCCACATGTGTTTTCAAAGAAAATGCTTTTTCCTTCTGGAAAAATTCCAATTTTCAGTCTTTGGACCATGCTTTCCTCTTTCTATTCACAGAGCCACCCAAGGGGCTCTCTTTCCTTTGGTGGGTGGAGCTTGCTCATTTTTCATGTGTTTCTGAAACTCTCCACAGACCTCCAGAGGTCTGCCCTAACTGCCTGCCCAGGTTTCCATCCCCTCTGGCAGCCTTGACACCTCTTCACTATGCCATTCCCCAAATGCCAATACTGTTCTTTCCCTTGTCCCCCAAAGAGGCTGGTCACATGGTGGTAGGAGAGGAGAGTTATTTCAGAGACATCCGACATCACACTTCTAAAACCATCACTGACAGGCTCTCCCTGGGCCCTCGCTCTCCTGGTGGCCTTCCTCTTCTCCAGGGAGACAAATTAGCTGCCTTAAGCCATCCTAACTCACCAGAGATGTTGCTCTGCCCATAAAGAACACAGGCTTTGACATTATTGTGTAGAGCCTTTCCATCCTGATGATCTCAAAATCCCTTTCTAGACTGGGCTCCTGTTCTTTTCTTGGGAGGGGGAGGGGTTCCAGTTCTTAACTGAAAAATCAAAAAGCCTATTAAAGCATTTCCCACACTTCCCACTCCCACCCTCCATATCCCCCCCAAAGGAGCCAGTCTTACTCACCCCTAAAACGCAGAAAGTGCTACTGCAGGGAAGTCCTACCTTTGAGAGGGTTTCCTATGTTGGCGAAATCTGTTTTAAAGGAACATCAAGAATAGCCTTGAGGAGGAAATATGGACTGAATCTATACCAACTGGCACTAGCCAGCTTATGAGAAACGTGGAGAAAGAGTCCAGCTCCTCCGCCCGTCAGCCATGAGCCCTAACTGTATGTAAATGAATCCCCTAGGCTTTTTTTAGAACCCTAGCAGTAGCTGCACTTCTATATTTAAGTAAGATACTGCTAAAGTTAACTTAGCAGTTAAGCCATGCTTTGCAGTTAGGCTGCCTGCATTTTAAATCTGAGCTCCCCCCACTGACTTGTTTTGCTTTGTTTTTACTCTGGACAGGCCTTCATTTTATCATCTGAAAAAGAGCGTAATGTTTCCCTCAGAGGTAGTGGGAGGAGCGATCAAATAATGCCTTCAAAGCACTTAGGACGCTTCTTGGTACCGAGTTAATAATTTACACATTGATAATATTCAAGGTAATCAATGTACTGTTCCCCCCACCAGCCCCCACTTTTCTGTTGGGCAAATACCTCAAAAAGAAAAAAGCTGTCCTTTCTCAGACTTCCTGAGCTTTCTGGTGACACCGCTGCCTCAGGCCTGAGCACCCATGAGCCTTACTGTCTCCAGTTCCCTGCCTGCTAATCCTTTGCTCTGTCGATCAAGGCCCGTGCTTCCTGCTAACCGGTTCTGAGGGATTCTAGTGGGAGGGACTTCCTTTCGGACAGTGGCTCCAGAGGAAGTTCTGTTGTCACAGGGTGGGCACCCATCTCTCCTGCTCCGTTTGAGTATCCCGAAGGCATGACTAGCCTATTTCCATAGTGCTTGAGAAGCGGTGAGCAAAGCTGCTCTCAGACTTCTCAGTTCCAAAAGAACGGATTATGTTCTGCGGTTTTCCAACTGGATTCAGACCCCTAAGCTGAATACCATCCCGTTGGCCCTGGAGAGTAGAGAAGACAGTCTCTTTGCACTTTGAATTAATTTAACTCATTTCAGAGAAATTTGAAGCCTCATGTTGGTACCCCTCCCACCCAACCTTCCCCCCCACCACACACACAATACATACTTCTGATCTAATTCTTTAGCCCTCATGGCAAATAGATATTAAAATATTAAATCTGTCTTCGAGATCTTCTTCATAAAATATTAAGGGAAAATGTCTGTGTTAACAATGTTTTAACGTGAAATAATAAACAAACTGCTGTAATTGGACATTTTTCTCCTGAAGGTCATATGCTCCCACAAAAATCACCCTTGCAAATGTGCAATTCAGAAGAGTGATCGCACCTTACAGTCAGACACTGTGCTTTTCTGTGTTCAAAGAGCATTCTTTAAACATTAATTAGTTATTCCATCAAATATCCTAGGAGGGTGGATTAATATCTGATTAATGCAGATATAGTTGCAAAGAGAGAGCAAGGAGAGTCCTCCCTCTCTCATCATGCAACAATTCTGAGGCAAGAATTTTTAGCTAAAGCTTTGTGAATGGGCAGAAATAAGTCACAAGTGAGGCTAAGAAATCAAGGGTTCTTGATCCTAAATTTCTCAGGCATCTCTTCTATTCTTTGATTTGCATGAACCTCATAGATGAGCCCCTGAGAAATGATTTCATTTCCCCCCTTAAATCAGATATTCACTTGTGCAGAGAGAGCCTGGCTAGAGATATCACAAGGAGGCTCTCCTCCCACTAATGAGATGGGGAATGCTTGCTTTTGAGGGCCCGTTTCAGTCACAAGGGATTTTTTCCTAAATGCCCAAAAAAGTAGGAGGAGGAGGACTGCTCTAGCAGAACACAAAATACAGGGGTCCATGACATCTTGCTGGATTCTGCTGCACTCTGACTTGTGCAGGCAAGAGCTCAGAGATTAACTGGCTGCAAACTCTCTTCCCTGACACCCACCCTTAGTCACAAGTGTACATCCCTAGGTCCCTGCTCCGTGCTTTTCTTAAGGACTTATGATGTGCCCATCGCATAAAACCACTTGCAACCATTTCCAATAATTGCAGCATGAAAAGTGAGCTGATCAGCATCTGACTTTTATGGCCGGCTACTAACCCAGCCAGCATTTTCTAATAATACTTTGCCTTTATATCCCAGGATCGCAGAGCAATTTACAAAGATTAATTAGAAGCTCCTTAGAACTCTCATCCTTGATGGAGGCAGGGGTGGAAGCCCTGAGAGGGGACTTAAATTAGCCTCCCAGGAGAGAGGGGAGTGAGGATTCTAAGGAAGAGCTTGTCTGGTTCAAGCCCGGGCTGTATCTGAGAATAAAACCCCATGTCCCCATTAGTAGGCAATGGAGAAACAATGTGCCATCTGATATTTGGAAAGGATTCAATTAGGAGGAAGTAAGGAGGCTGTGTGTGTTTATTTTTTATTTCAAAAATGATGTAAATACCCAAATTTGTTACTACCCCCAGGGTCCTGGCAGAATGCCAAAGATATCTGTAATTTTGCAAAATTGCATTTTGTGTCACCCCTTCCTGGGCCATTTCACATTTTGCTCGTCCCTGCCCCAAAGCCCACTGCCCCTGGCTCCCAGAAAGGTCAAGGGGAACGCCAGTGTGAATATGACCCTTTGATGTACAGCAGTACTGTGGTGAAGGCCGCCATCTCGGGGCTCTCCCCCTCCAGTATGCCACTGGGCCCAGCGCCTGGAGGACCGGCTTGGTAAAGAATAGGGAATGATGGCGGAGAAAGGGCTCTATCAGGCCATTGAGGAAGCACAGCTGTTGAGGGGCCAAGGGGAGGGGCCGAGGGAAAGCTGCAGTGACGTTCTGTTTTGTTCTTGCAACCAAGGCACAAATTAAGGCAAAATTAGAGACTTTCTTTGGGCAATTGGACGGATGGGAGGAGGAGGAAGATGGGGAAGCAGAGCTTTTAAGGACAGCAATTTGAGAACATCTGAGACAAATCTGTGGTTCTTTTTTTTTTCCTTTCTTTCTTCTTCTTTTTTTTTCTTTTTCTTTCTTTTTTTTTTTTTTTTTTTTTTGGTGGATTAGTTAGTGACTTTCTTTTTGGATTCCGGAGAGGTTTCCCCCCCTTCTTTTCCCTTTTTGCACCATGCACATGTAAATGTGATTGAGAATTCTTTCGTCAGATCTGCTGTCTTGGCAGCCTTCCTGCCAGCTGGCCTGGCTGGGGGAACCCACGCTGGTGGCTGATTGCGACTGACAAGTTCTCCCAGGCTTTGTGGGAGGAAGTTTGGGAGACACTCAGACACCCAGGACCTTGTTTGGGCTTTAGTGCCTGGATGGAAGGAGGGTAGAGGGGAGGCTTAAACCACTCTCTGCCCACGGAGGGTGCCAGGCCACCACTGCCATCTTGGTCCTTCTCCATAGGGACCACACAGTGACTGGTGGGGAACGTATCCCACTGTCATCAGTGCAACCTTTGGTGTAGAATCCCTGATGGTCGAAGTCCAAGTCCATCTTGAAAGACCATGTAGTCCACACCCGTTTCTTCCATCTCCAACTAAGGCATGTCATCAAAATGCCAAGATATAAGAAGTATAAAAACCCTGCTCCTCCAAAATGACTGTAGTTTATGGCCAGTCCTATCTTTTGCTTCTCTGTTACAATTCATTCTCCTTATTTTCTCTCCTTTTCCCTACCCAGGCTGCAGGCCAGATTCATTTGTTAGTTTTGTGTTGTTTTTACTATCTTCCTTTCTTCTCCCTGGCCTGACAAATTCTTAACTGATTACCAGGACCTCGCTCAAGGCTTGCATCCTAGAAGTTCTCTTTGGTAATTAATAGTTTATAAACTATTGAGCACAGAGCTTAGACGTAACTGCTGTCTAAAAGGTCAGTGAGGAGGCACCTGAGTGGCTCAGTGGGTTGAGGGTCTGCTTTCAATGAAGGTTATGATCTCAGGGTCCTGGGCTCCAGCCCTGCTCTGTGGGAAGTCTGCTCCTCCCCTTCCCACTGCCCCTCCTCACCATTCATTCTCTCTCCCTGAAATAAATAAATAAATAAAATCTTAAAAAAAAAAATAGAAGTTCAATGAGGGGCTTTTGGGTGGCTAAGTCGGTTTAGCAAGTACTCTTAGCATTGTACTCTTGATTTCAGCTCAGGTCAGGATCTTGGGGTCATGAGATCTGGTTCTGCAGTGGGGCTCAACGCTCATCGAGGATTCTGCCTATCCTTCGCCTTCTGCTCCTCCCCCGACTTGTGTGCTCTGCCTCACTCTAAAATAAATAAATAAATAAATAAATAAATAAATAACTTTCAAAACAAAACAAAAACAGGCACCCCAGTGGCTCAGCTGGTTAAGCATCTGCCTTTGCTTCAGGGTCCTAGGATCAAGTTCTGCATCAGGCTCCCTGCTCAGCTGTGAGCCTACTTCTTCCTCTGCTTCTGTGTGCACTCCGTCTCTCTCTCTCTCAAATAAATAAATCTTTTTAAAAATTTAAAAAAAAAACATCAGGGAGATTTTATTATAGGTAATTATGTGCGTTAATTTTGTCTTTTTAAACAATATTTTAGTTCTTCCTTCTTTTTCTCTGGTTCTGCATGTGTGCAAAGTCTCTCCAGAGGTACCCTTTTGTGTAAGTGGTTGTGGCTGTCAGCCACTAAGATGTCCCCCAAGATCCCCCACCTTCTGGTATTCAGGACCTTTTTGTAATCCTTTCCTCTTGAGCTTGAGCTATACTTACTGACTCAATTCTAACAAATAGAATATGGCAGAAGTGATAGGATGTCACTTCCAAGATTAAGTTATAAAAAGATTGAAAAGATTGAAGCTCTCTCATCTTGAGAAAGCTCTCTCAACTCTCTCTGGGATTGCTCACCAATCCAGCTGCCATATTGTGGGGGAAAGCCAGTTGCCATTTTGTAAGGAGAAGCCAGCTGCCATATTGTGAGGCAGCCCCCCAGAAAGGCTTATTTGGCTAAGGACTAAAATCTGCCAACAATCATGTGAGTGAACTTAAATTGATTTACTCCTTTCCAATTACACCTTCAGTTGAGACCACAGCCCTGGCCAACAAC